TTTTGACATTCTTTTAGGCATGGATTGGGGTGAAGCTGCAGATGCGGATATAAAGTTAAGGGATCATGAGTGTTGGCTCCCAAGTCCACAGGGTGAAAAGAACAAAATCCGCCTATTCCATGAATCTGGTAAGGAAAACAGCTTGGCTCATTGTTGTATGAGTGCCGCGGCGTTCGCTCGCTATGTAAAGAAATACAATTGGTATGATCAAGTGTTCGTAGCATATGTGCGCCCGGTGAAGGAAGGAGAAGCCAAAGAAGATGCAAAGGCCCCCAAAATGGAAAAAAAATTGAAAGAATTCGTAGATGTGGCAGAGACCCTAAGCGGTGTCGTAGAAAGACCAATCAAACAACGCATTGAGATTGTACCAGGAAGTCTGATTCGTAAGGGGTCTATATATAGAATGTCACCCAAAGAATTGGATGAACTGCGAACCCAGCTCGATGAAATGTTGGAAAAGGGATGGATAAGGCCTAGCTCCTCGCCTTATGGTGCGCCAGTGCTATTTGTTACCAAAGAAAGATGGCGGGGTCCGCATGTGTATTGATTATATGAGATTAAATGATATAACTATTAAGAATGTTGAGCCCTTATCTAGAATCGATGATTTACTGGATCGAGTTCAAGGGAGCAGGTACTTCACAAAAATTGGCCTGAAGTCTGGCTACCATCAGATTGAGGTAGAACCAGAAGACCAATACAAGTCTGCCTTTTATACAAGGTATGGGCACTATGAGTTCATTGTGTTGCCCTTTGGTCTTACTAATGCACCTGCGACTTTCCAGCGAACGATGAATGAACTTTTCCGTGAATGGCTTGATAAATTTGTTGTCATATATCTTGATGAAAGTTTGATTTTTAGTAATGATCTGGAACAGCATTGCGAGCACCTTCGACTTATGCTAAATAAATTGAGTGGTAAAGTTGAAATTGAACCCCAAGAAATGTGAATGGGCTAAGCGTCAGGTTTTATATTTGGGGCATGTGCTTGATAGTGATGGGATCAAACTGGAAGATGCGAAAATTTCAACAATTCATGATTGGCCTAACCCCCGCACTTTGACTGAGTTACGGTCGTTTTTTGGGTTAGCCAACTATTATCGGAAGTTCGTTGAACACTTCACGATAATTGTTGCACCCCTTCGCAGATTGCTTAAGAAAGAGACAATCTGGAAGTTGGACTCAGGTTGTGTGGCTTCGTTTAAACGTCTAAAGAAATGTCTAATTAATTATCAGGTTTTGAAGGTTGTTGATCCTTCTTTGCCTTTTGTCGTCACAATCGACGCCAGTCAGTACGGGATAGGCGTTGTACTGCAACAAGACGATGGGAATGGATACATGCCTGTTGAGTTTATATCGCAACGACTACCTAGTGAGAAGGTCACCGCTTTTACATATGAAAGAGAGTTGTTTGCACTCCGGGAAGCTCTGGATCACTGGAGACACTATCTGCTTGGACGCCACTTCAAAGTGTATTCAGATCATGAGACACTTCGTTGGCTTAAAACGCAGGTCTGGATGACGCCTAAATTGACTAGGTGGGCCACTGAGATTGACCAATATGATTTTGAGCTAAAGACAGTTAAGGGTAAATATAACGTTGTTGCCGATGCACTAAGTCGAAGATCCGATTTCTTCGGTGTCATTGTAACATATTTAGATGCGGGCGCCGATATGCAGGAGAAGATTAGAAATGCGTATTCCACTGACCCTGTTTATGGCGCTATATTTAAGCGTGTGCAGGGACAGTAAGTGAAACTCACTCCCATGCATGAAAATACAAAAGTGAAAATTGACGATTTACTGCGGAGTGAAGGAATAGATAAAACAAGCGAGATGAATCATGCAAAACACTAGAATGAGCGCAAACCAAAGTTACGATTTACTACGAAGTGAAGAAATGGAGAGAAAGTGAAGGGAGAGTGAGTGAAACTCGCTCCCATTCATGAAAACACAAAATCATAAGTGGCGATTTACTTTGGAGTGGAGGAATGGACAAAACAAGAGAGATAGATTATGCAAAACACTAGAATGAGCACAAACCAAAGTTGCGATTTACTGCGAAGTGAAGAAATGGAGAGAAAGTGAAGGGAGAGAGTGAAACTCACTCACATGCATGAAAACACAAAGTGAAAAGTAGCGATTTACTTTGGAGTGAAGAATGAGCCCATGGGAAGACCATTAGTAGTGAAAAAGCCTCCTACTCTAAGCTTTGGAAAGTACCTATGGAGAGAGAGAAGATGAGGAAGAAGAACAATAGGGAATGTAGATGAGAGACCATGGAGGAGTAGGAGAAGAAGAAGGAGAGGAAGAAAGGAAAGTGGAGGAGGAGGAGGAAGAAGAAGAAAGGATTCTCCTTCTTTCCACTCACCTCCTCTAGTATCTTAGAGTTGAAGTACCAATCTTGATGATGCTTCTCCTTCACATTATTGTGGCTCCCTTCTTCCTCAAGCCCTTATCCCTCCTCTTCAGTCCCTTCGTGATGGTGACAAGCTCCTATCACTATGACTATGGAGTCCTTCCCTCTAGGAGGGCTAATGAGACTTCCTCTAACCTTTCCTTCTTCCTCAGAGTCTGGGGCTATGGCGGATCACCTTCCTGGGCCAGCCTCTTCCACGAGCCTCTAGAGCTCCTCATACTAGCCCACAGTCTGCTCTAAGATCCCAAACTGGCAAGGGTTCCCCTCTTCTCACTTCAAGTGAGAGTGGTGCTCTCTTGGGCTCATGCCAGCAACGTGTGCTTGCCTCAAGCAAATGTGAGTGTGGCGGACTGCTCCCCCAACTTAAACAGGTTGGGCACAATGTTTTGGCCAGCCCATGGGACTCCCCATGTGCCTCATGGTGAACCGAGGTACCCCCATGGCCATTTTTCGCTTGTAGGCCTCTCCGGGAGTACTTGGGCTCTAATTTGGTTAAGTACATGCAGTACAACTCTTGCTGGTACCAACTCGGACTGCCTACTGGGCCTCCTCATGCCTCACCCCCTTGAACCAAAATGCCCAATGGCACCCTCGATTGGGAGGAAAATGCTTAGGAGGCCTTCTTTTCGACTTTTTCAATTTTTACCCCATTTTTGGTAGGCTGAGATATTTTCCCATGCCTCGGTGCCTTTTCAGCCTTGGATCTGGCCGAGATCCAAGACCAGCAATATTCCAGGCTACCCCTTGGGTGATCCTTGCTTCAGTTTTGGGTCCCAAAGCCCATCTTTTCAATTTTTGGTGCACCCGACCCTTTGTTTGGGCCAAATGCACAATTTCGTCTTTTTCTTTCTTTTGTTTCTTTCCATTTTGGGCTGCCAACTCATTTCGGAGTTGGTTTGAGTTGACCTCATTAAAAACGACCGTATTCCCTCATTCATGGTTCTGAATCTGAATGTCAGATCCATGGTCGAAAAGAAAACCGGACATTTTCCTTTTGTTTTTTTTCTTAATTTTGCCTTTTTAATTTAGATATTGCAGAGATAATGCTCTAAGGGCCATATCTCTGCAATCCAGATTGTCCACCACCATTCTTGGAGGGATGAGGCCAAAGTAGGGACTTGCCAGTCCCTACTGGGCCAGTCGCAACTGGCCGACATATTTTCCTCCACCATTTTCTCCCCTTTTGTCTTATTCTCCGTTCATTTTTTTTTTATTTTTTTTTCTTTTCTTATATTTATGATGTGACAAGTGTCAAGTGGCTGTCGAGTCTTTTTATAGACCGTGGATCTTCATCTATGGCCAGTTTCAGACTCGGCAGTTGGTCGTTATATCTCGGATTATAATAATGAAGCCCCCACACTTAAGGGGCTTTCATTTTGCCTCCGTTAGTCTCAATTTTTGAGCCCCCTTTGCTCCGATTTTCTTTTGACAACCGTTTTTCTGTGTTGAGCCCCTTGGGGCTCTATTTTCTCATGCCTAGCTAGTCCGCAATATCCCGGACTGCTGGGCAGCCCTCCCCTCACCATTATTATGCTTTTTTTTCTCTCATGGCTCTCCCGCTTGACTCCACTAGTGCTTGCACTAGTGGTGCTAATATTTTCCACCGTCTAGATCTTGATCTTGACAGTGGTGTTTGCTTTGCGTGACCATTCCTCACGTTGGCCCATGGTTCCTTTAGGACATCTCAAGTCCCCGCCACTCTCCCCGTACTAGTTTCATTGGGCAGCCCTCCCCTCACCATTATTTTGCTTTCTTTTCTCTCATGGCTCTCCCGCTCGACTCCACTAGTGCTTGCACTAGTGGTGCTAATATTTTCCACCGTCTAGATCTTGATCTTGACGGTGGTGTTTGCTTTCCTTGACCATTCCTCACATTGGCTCATGGTTCCTTTGGGACATCTCAAGTCCCCGCCACTCTCCCTGTAGCGGACCCACCACGTGTGGTGCTCCGCTAGTGACAGAGATGGAGATGGA